CCCCAAAACCCCAAAACCCCAAAACCCCAAAACCCCTTGATTTTTAAGATCATTGAAATTTAGAACATTACTTTTCAGCAATCAGGAGTACTCTTTAAAGTCAAATCATCCTTCATGTGCTAACTCAGGGAAGTCTGAAAGAGTCATTGAGCTTCATCATGACTATCTTTTGAGTCTATCGAACGATCTTTTCGAAACTTCTGCATTGATGGTCTGAATACTCATGGTAGTCTGGTAGGCTCATCCTAACCTTTGGAAGTTTTTGATTCTATTAGCAATGACTTCTGCTGTTTCTGTAAAGATAGGTTGAATATCAAGCATTGATTGTACGATTTGAGACCGCCTGTTTTGGGTAAATTTCGATCCTTTATTTGATATCCAAGAATACTTCACCTTCTTGCATTTAGGCTTTCTCTTCTTAGAAAGAGTGTTATCGATAGGTTTCTTTAATCCTGGGGTAAATCAGGGATGTAAGATACTCAGCCTGTGAGGGTTACTCTGGTTTCGGAGGTTGGGCATACTTCTTCTGAAGGCTCTGGGACATTTGGAACAAATTAGATTCTTTAGTTTCTCTCTTTTCCTGAACTTGTTTAGAGAAGGCTTACTTGGATAAGGTGTTCGACTCTGAATATTTTGGAAGAGTTTGACTCTTCTTTGTTTGTGGTTTGAACATGATTAAGCTTAGAGTAGGTCTGAAACTCTTATTTCTAGAGAATTTTTATTAATAGTTTATCAACCAGAGGAGAAATTATCTATAAGCCTACTTACAAGTGATAACTTCTTAGTACTTCTAAATTGATCGATAATAAGATCATTGTTGAGTGGAATTTTGAGATCAAAATTGCCAACTGCTTTGTTTACTTTAAGTTTCCTGTTTCTAGAAATAAGTTAGAAATATTAAAGATAACTTCTTTTCGGGTAACTTACTCAACAATCGTCTTTCCTTTGCCTTGACTGTACTTCTATCAAATTTTGAGGTTAGGAAGAAGTGGATAGAAGTAGATTAATGTATTTTTTATAATTAGAAGGCACTAAGGATTCATTTTATTAGATAAGGAATACCATACCTTCATTATCAAATTATTTAGTCTGAAAAATTTTTAGGGGTTTTGGGGTTTTGGGGTTTTGGGGTTTTGGGG